GCTTTTACAATCACTTTCCCCCACTCTGACAATTGTTTGCTGAAACATCTTTTATGTTGTTCTTATGTACATATACACGTACACGCCCACACACATATATAAACACATGCGTAAAATGATGTCAACAACTTTCTCGTGAATCAGAAACTATTCATGAAATGTTCAGGAAAAAGGGAAAAGGCTCGATATTAATTTCCTAAATACTTGAAAATATAATATACCATTAACTTTAATAGAATTTTTTACTTATTTGGCATGCTTTGCTACATTTTTAATTTTGTTATAATTGTACTTGAATTGTACATCTGAATTTATGTAAGTATACTCTATGGTTCTTTGCTTGTCGTTGTCGTCTTCTGGTTTTTGTGTTTTTTTTTTTTTTTCCCCCAATCAATCTAATTATGAGTGCAATTATTAAAGACATCTTTTCAGGCAGGTCTATGTAAACTACTTCATTTCTTTTGCACCATCTAAATCCAGGCAATCCATCTGCCACAGCTGTCAAAGCAATGCCTGTTAATGATGCTTGCACTCTGCAACATAAAGACAGCCTTCAACGAAAGTAATTGTAAATAAATTTTTAGCAAACTTTACTATTCTGAGAACTTTAGCTGTAGTAACAAGTACTTTTAATTAATCAGGCCTCTACACCAGAGAGGATCATTGCAAATAAAAAAATATTTTGCATCAATAAAAGGCAAAATAAAGGACTGTTTTGAGGACAGAAAGATTTAAACATTTTACTTATTTTCTTTAATGTGAATAAGCCTCATATCCTCCCGTACCTTTCCTCCCTCAACAAGAGGATTATGGGGAAAAGATGCAGGACTGGGCAAAATGAATAATTATAATCTGTGTAGGGAGCCACTTTATCATCTTCATTTCCGTTGCTGATCCGACAGCTTGTAATTTCATACATCTGCTTTCATTTGTAAAGCACTCACTTATCCTACTCATTCTTTATCTGTTCTGCCTGTTCTTCTTCCTACCCTTTGTTTTTCTTGTTCATATTCAGGTACCTGTTTTTTTCTTCTTGAAGTCACAAAGCTGGCATAATGAACACAATACAATGGTCTCCGTCAGAGTTCTTTCAGAGGAGTATAATAGGAGCACTACATAGTACATAACTCTCATATGTAAATCAAATCTAAGATACTGTACTGCAGTTATGATCCTGATGGTTTTTTACCAAAGCAAATAAAAATACTGAAAATTGATAGCAAATTCTAAATACTTTTATAAAGGATAGGCAGTAAGACCAATGCATTTATCTTTTGAACAGATTAGTATGTGTTCTAGTCTGCAGTGTAAAATGAATTAAAATTATCCTTTCTTTATTTTTCCTGGAAGAGTTCTTTGCTGTCTCACAGACATAGAGAAAAGTAAATATTAAAAAAGCTAATTTATTTTAATGGTGCAGACTTGACCTCTGAAAAAAAATTAGGTTTTCAATCACAAGACATATACTCTAATTGTTAATTTTTTGAAACATAGAATAGTGAAGCAATTGAATAATGGAAAAAAACTCAAAGTGTTGGGTAATGACTTGTGCCCCCTCTGGTTCTTAAAAGTTAAATTTTAAAAGAAATCTTACCATGCAAAGAAATGTAAAAAAAAAAATCCAACACTTTAATGAGGAAGGCCTGCTAATTTTTATATTTATTTTATCTTTAGGGTTTTCCTCACATGTTCATCTGTCCCCTTTTCATGTAGAAATCTTTACAGAAGATAACATTATTGCCAGTGCTCTATTTCTTGGGGAACCTTGGGTTAAAGTGACTACTTTGCTGAAACTCCTCTTGGTACCCTTTGTTTCAGAGTGATCTCTATGCTGCCCATGAGCCAGCAACGTGCCCTCGCAGCCTAGAATGCCAACCGTATCCTGAGCTGCATCTAAAGGAGCGTGGACAGCAGGTCGAGGGAGGTGATTCTACTCCTTTGCTCCACTGTGGTGAGACCCCACCTGGAGTGCTGCATTCAGCTCTGAGGTCCTCAGCACAGGAAAGACATGGAGCTGTTGGAGTGGGTCCAGAGGAGTGCCATAAAGATGATCATAGGGCTGGAGCACCTCTCTTATGAAGACAAGCTGAGAGAGTTGGGGTTTTTCAGTCTGGAGAAGAGAAGGCTCCAGGGAGACCTTCTAGCAGCCTTCCAGTATTTAAAGGGGGCCTACAGGAAAGCTGGAAAGAGGCTTTATACAAGGGGTAATGGCTTTAAACTGAAAGATGGGAGATTGAGATTAGATCTAAGGAAGAAATTTTTCACTCTGAGGGCGGTGAGGCGCTGGAACAGGTTGCCCAGAAAAGTTATGGATGCCCCATCGCTGGAAGTGTTCAAGGCCAGGCTGGCTGGGGCTTTGAGCAACCTGATCTAGTGGAAGGTGTCCTTGCCCATGGCAGGAGGTTGGAACTAGATGATCTTTAAAGACCCTTCCAACACAAACTATTCTATAATTCTTGTCTCTTCCAGACATAATGTATAATATTATCCAATAGAGTGGCAGTTTTCTTAACATAGCAGTAAAACAAAACAAACAGCCCTCCAGTGAATAACCGTATCAGAGTTAAAAAGATTTCTAAGAATCAACTGCAGGATAAAGTTTTTGGAAGGAAATTCTGTGCAACACAAATTTATCCAGTCTCAGCATTAGCTGGATGATGCTGAAGTTCAACTGAGGAAATCCTACGCTGTGGCCAGCTGCCTTGTAATAAGCTAGGTGCTTCCGTACCTGTGCTTTTCTTGCACTAATTGGCTTGCCAAGAGTCACACCTGGATCTAACTTTTATTGTGAACAACACGTTCTCACTTCTCCAAAGAAGAATGCTATTGGTATTTCTAGGGAAAGGAGTAGAGAAACTCCTCTGCATAGAGAAAGTAATCTTACTGCCTTTTGATTAATATTTGTTACGCAGTGCCTGGAGGAACATCAAATTTCTTTCTCCCTTCTGCTTTAGATGAGATTGACTTTTCTCTGTTGGTCTGATAACCATTCCTGGATGCAAGCATCAATAATAGTGGTGGAAAACATGTAAACTAACTGTACTTGTCCTCAACAAAGTAGTAATTTTCTGCCACATGTCATTTCTTAAGAGTTTAATGTTTGATGCCACCAATCCTGTACCCAGATGACTTCTCAACCCAGGAAGGGTGGGACTACTTGCCTCTGCTGCTTTACGCATGGCTATGTTCTCTTTAGTAGGCCCTACATTGAGTTAAACACCGATAATATGATCATCTTGCGCTGTAACAAAAATAACAAATCAGCTCCTCTAAGAAGAGGCTGTGGCTCCTTTATTTCCCTCAAAATATTCAGACCGTTTTTAGGTAAGAAAATATACATCCTAACAATGGCCATTGCTAGCCTTTGAGTGGGAACAGGATAAAAATATACTTATTCTAACACTGATCAGTCAAAAGTAGCTCCTGGTGCAATAAGGACGTTTGTTTACTATGCAAAATACAGACAGGTCTTCCAGATGTGTTCACTTTTGTCCTTCTTGAAGGGAAGGGAAGTATAGAAAATTAGATATATTTTTGCCCCACATCCTCTCCTCTGTTCTGATTTCATCAACTACTGCATGTACATTCATATTGGTGAAAAAGAAGTAACATATTCATGCTTCTGATTTGACAGATTTAAAAAAAGAAGGTCATTTTGCATAAATTTTCCCAAAGAAACCGAGAAAATAATTTATTAAAACTCACAGATACTTAGGTACACAACTCTACACTTGGCTTGTGAGGATTAATCACTCCACGGATAAAGCTCTGCTTGGATACAGGTGTAAAACTGAACAGAGCAGTTTTCAGAATGGCTGTGTACATGATCATGTATCTGAAATCTCTAATATATATAAATAATAATCTAAATGCTCCCTTCTCCTTGAGTAAAATATCATTTGAGTAACGGAGGATTTCAAAACAAAAATAGAATGAAAAATATAGCAGAAATATTTTCTTAAAATCATTGAGAACATCATAATAAAACATAGAAAAAAAATAAATCCATCAATTCCCAAACCAGCAACTTTTCCCCATCACCAAATGTGTTGGGAATCTGCATAACTTTTAAACTCTCAAATGCCTTCAGTATTGTATTATTATCATTGCTTATGTTTGACATTTTTATAACATAGTATCTTAGGAGCTCTATTATTATTCCTATTGTTTCAAAGTTTTTAAACTGAAAATTTCCAAATGGTTTATTTATAGATTATGACATCATTGGGTGTTTCATTTCCTTTCACCAAATAAAGACAAGCTTTTAGAAACTTATTTTATTTGAGAATGTTTTAAAAAATATTACAACAGAACTTTGAACTCTATTCAAAGCTCAAATATTATCAGCAATATGAAAATGAGGAAAAATGGAAAATTTTTCTAAAACAGATAAATAAGAAAAACTTTCTTTTACCAAATCAAGAACTATGGAAATTGCTATAGTTCGAGCTTGACTTTGAAAATATAGACAACTTTACAGTTTTTGTGACCAAGCATTCTGTTTCACCATTCTATTATGCTTAGAGTAACTAATTAGGTCCAACTGTAGAACACCAAGTTACTTATTAAAGAAACAGTGTATGTACGAAGTATTAGCTGTCCTGATGACATGACTTTGCAGCTCATTTGGGCAAATGTACTCCACTTTAAAGCTATTTACTACTTTATTTACTAAGCCTGGGATTTCACAGAAAAGAGGGAGATTGATTTCATACAGATGCCTAGAGCACATTTTTAGCTCACATTTTTAGTTACCTCATACCGATACTTGTATGTGAGCACCACAAAGCAAAAGAAAAAAAACCCAAACAACCCTCCCTCCTCCAGGAGAGAGAGTGCTTACAAATACAGTTCTAAAGATTTTTTTTCGAAGGGAAATGATGACACAAAATAAAATACTGATGTTAAGAAACATTTTTACATGCATCTGCACTACATATCTATACCGAAGATTTTAAGATTATTTCCATTTACAGCAAGTAAACAAGCTAGATTTAGATTGCAGAACATAATGAGGTGGAATCAGATCATCCTGAAACAGAAGCATTAATTTTGAAAGCTCTGAACTGAATTAAATGTCCACTTCTTTGAGAGGAATGTAAGGTAGTACTATATGCTGCATGTTTATTAAAAAGTAATTAAAAACCCACATGAAGGCAAGCAGTGGAACGACACTACGTGTAAAGTACATGCACATTATATTTTCAAGATTGGGCCCTAAAATAGGAACCACAAATGTTGAAAACTTCATGTGTCCTAGAATATAAAACTGTGTCAAATATGTGACCTTGTTACAACCTAAAGTACAGATTGTATATAATTAACTCTGAACAGCATGCTACAGAATTCATATATTTAATGACAGACATGTACCTTACTGCAAAATGCATACTTTGTTGTGGCAAAGTGGCACAAAGAATCTTTTGCAAAATATGATGAGATTGAAGTAAATGCCTCTTAATTAAGCATTACATACCTTCTTCTTCCCATTCACAATTATATAAGCTAACAACATTTTTGTGATTTCTTGTTTGTCCCAACATAATGTATTTATTGGTCATGACTAACCCATAAGAATTCACCTTTGTACATATTTCAGGTGTACTAAAATAAAATAAAATGAAACAATCATTTTTTAAAGATGCCACTCTTGCATAGAATAAACGTATTTTGTAATTGTTACTCATCTCTGCATTTACATTTCCTTCAAGATATATCTTCGAAAATTATGAGTCATTGTCTTGTGCATTTTCACATTTCTCACAGCAGAACAGCATAAAAATATTCTGTGTTGGAGGCTTTACTCAATTCATCAGCTTGGTCAGAAGGTGGAGCTCTATACATACCTGTATCACTTACTGCACATAAAATCTGCAGCTCCATATAAAACCACAGAACTACTCAGAAAACAAACCTGCATTTAACTCCAAGACACAATTTGTTTCATAAATACAGCAGACCGCATCTGATAATAAATGGCTCCTCTCCTAGCATTTGGAACGATTTTCAGTATGCTAACAAAGTCACAATGAAATCTAGCGTTTTGGAAGTCCTCTTTTTCTTTGAAAAATAAGTTTGCATTCTTTTTAAAAGATCATAAGATAGTTGATACTTACAGGCATCTCTAATATATAACAACATGGCTACAAAAATGTAGTCGACTAAATTCAGGGTGATACTGTCAGCAAATAGAGCATCCCAGACAACCAGAAGGTCCTGAAGCGGGAATTCACGTCCAAACAGGAGCCTCACCCATCGCCTGAAAAAAAAAGGAAAAGATGTGATTGGTATTTCTCTGTTTTGCCAAGTATGGTAAAGTCTGGATACGTATCCCAGGATCAACTACAATCCAGAATATTTTACCAGAAAATTTTGCAAAGTGTGAAGATCTGTGATAAGCACTTAACTAACTGTATTTGTGGAAATCTTACTGCATCTACATTAAAGAAGTGATATGTTATAGACTGTAGAAGCTTAAATGACTGCTATTACATGGGTGAACCTGAAAGGACAAAACAAATCAATCCTATCTACCATAGTTTTGAGCATTTAATGTGATAGTGATCTAAGAGGAAAGGGAGAAAATGTTACGCAAGAATAGCCTAGAAGAGCAAAAAGGGGAGGGTGAAGTCAGTGGTTTATGCGAAGCCCTGAAAAGCCCAGTCAAGTGAAATCCAGTTCAGAGGTGGATGCCAAACAGCAGTTAAAACGGACCGTGTCACACTCACTTTGAAGAGGCTTCCTTCCTGTTATTGATGACAGTGTTTTCAGCTCCACATAAAATATACTATGCATGCTATTTTAATTAAACCTAATTTAAATCTTCACCAGATTTAGTGATAATCTGCGTGTGGACTATACCATTAATTCCTGTTCATATCCATGCTTTTTTCATACCTAGAAAAATGTGAAAATCTGTCTTATTAAATGCAGTTTTTGCTTGAGACTGGAAGCTTGAGATGCAGTAGAATAAAATTACTTCTCAAGATTTCCTATTTCCATTTCTGGCTCTTACACTGACTTATTTGCCGACCTCAGGAAAGGCACTTCCCTCTCCTGTTCCAAAACAGACCCCCTAGCTTTGTACTTTTTTAGGTGGCAAGGATTATCTAAGGTTATGTTTGAAAGAGCTAAAGAATAGTTAGTAACAGTAATCTTGAAATAGTTATTATGAAATGGACTTAAAAATAATGAATTACATTTTTAGCTGGGATATGCAAATTATTACGCATGTGGAATCTGTTTATTCAGTGGCAAGAAAAGATTGATTGCAAATTTCTGCTAAGCAAATTAAGCCATTTTTAAAACTCACAAAAATTTCTAAAAAGGCAACTAGAAATTTCATCAAGATTAGTTTCACTTGTAAGAACTCATGTTTAACCACTTTTGTACCAGAACTCATGTTAGAAACTCATGTTTATGGCCAAATCTGTTTTTTTTTTTCCTGATTCCAGTAATAAAAGTTCATTTCTAGACAAATGAATTCCAACACGTGAGTCGAGTACAAGCTTGTAAGACAGCAACAATCTGTACAAAAAGACTCTCTCTTATAAGAGAAATCTGAAGGGACTGGTTTGCGAATCAAGGTTTTGTTCACTTAAACTTTTATTCCCCCTGCTGCCACTGGAACCACATGCATAATCCACAAAAACATCCGTTACAGGTTTAGAGATCGCTACACAGAATTTTTTCCCTTGCAAGACATGTTCCCTTTCAAAAGTGAAAATACGTGATTTCAAAAGTCAGCATCATCTCATCCTTGTTACCCTGATATCAAACATTTATCTTCGAAGGTCTTGTAACTTCTTCTGTTAGCATAGTAATTGTAAAAGTCACAATATTAGCTGTGACAAAACACAGACTCTAGGCATTCGTCCCTCTAATCAACCCCCTCTCCTATGAGGACTTATTTTCCGGCCTCAGAAAGAGAAGTCAGAAGAACCATTAACGCAAAAGCAAGGCTTAGTGAGTGCAGTTAACACCACGTCTGTTCTAAGGGATTTCACCATATAGCGGCACATTACCCTACAGCGCCTAGCCTTCAGGAGACTATTATCCTATGGTGAAACAAACATTACCCAAACTCTGCGTGAAGCCTATTTATTACTTGCATTAACAACCCCTCCCACCCGTAAAACCGCAACTTTCAAGTCACACAAACTGTTAGACAAGAAATTTCAGCTAAGCTTGGAACATTTGAGCTGACTTTGCTCGCAACTACCCAAATCTCGTTCAGAAGTCTTGCTAAAAGTCTAATACACTTCAAGGGAAAAAATACACCATTGCGTAATGGGATTTGTTATTAGTCTTTTATTAGAAATCTCTTTTGCTTCTTTACTACTTCATTATGCAGTGTTAATCGTTTGTAGATGCAGGTTTGTTCTGCTCAAGCAGAAGTCATTCCTTTTTTTCTCCTGCTTTTATACTTTCTCCTGGGAAAATTAAATCTTAGTCCCCAGAGGTACCAGATTTCGCAGATGTAGACTGCTGAAGAACAACTGGACTTCCTTGTGCAACCATAATATCACTGTTAATTATTTGAACCTTCCTGTCTTAAAGGGAGTAAGCAATTCATACTGTTGTAAATACATGTATACTAACTGCTCTCTTATTTTTTTTCAGCAGCATTTAGCTCATAGCATCTATAAGCCAAGGACCCTATTGCCTACAAACCACGCTGCCTTATGGCAGGACTTCACTCAGCTTTTATATGCATAAAAAGGGATATTAATTCCTTAAAGTAAGTGTCCACACTGAAAAGCTGTCTTTCAAACTAACACATTTCTATTGCTTTTACAAATATTTGCAAAGAATTTAAGACATGCTTAATAACTGCATTGGACATGATAAACCTTTTTTTTTTTTTTTTTTTTTGAGATGGCTGTCTGTGGTTTAATTATTGTTCTGTCCTGTTAATCTTGCCTTACATCTGTTACACCTGCAGACTGTGAGGCTCACAATAGTATACCTTTTATCACAGGCAGTAATACAATAATTCATATTTTACCAGGCATACTTAGCAATTAAAATCTACAAAAAAAAGTACAGATTCTTTAAAGCCATAATACACCAAGGTACTACTATGTACATTGTAGAATATGTAACGGTATCTTCCACTTATGATTCCTATATAATTAAACCAATATTCTCAAGAGATCAGTAATTACTAGCAATAGATAATGATTCATTAATGACCTTACAATATAGGGAAAGTAGGAGAAAACTGTGTTCTAGCAAAGCCATTAAATCACGCAATGATCCAGCCTTACCAGCTTTAACTAAAACCAAAACCATTTTGACAGATTTACAGGACAATTCTCCAAGCATCAATAAAATTAACTTATGTTAAGTTACATATATTTAGCCGGTTATCTTCTCTGTCTTCTTGGAAGGCAGAGAACTCTTAAAAAAAACTAAATAAGCTTAAGAAATGGTTACAGACGAGGTGATACAAGCAGTTTAGGAATGTTTATGAGCACAAGATGACACAATGAAATCAGAAAGAATAAGAAAAAACATAATGCCAGGCAAGGGAAAGCATGGCTCTGAAGCTACTTCTACATAACTAAATCTAGGACCTACAAATTGTCAACAAGTTGCCTAAAAATTCTACTGCAAGAGCTTGTTTTCAGCCATTTATACTTTTGCTAAACTCCATCTGCAGTACAATTTCCATTCCAAGCATCTGCTCAAGGCTTGATTTTTCTTTATTAATTGATACTATTCATTAGAACAAGGCCAAAAAAATTCTGCTCATGCTTAACTTATTTTTTTCCCCGAGCATTTCATTAGAAGGTCTAGAATCAAAACAACAAGGTCTCTGGCATTTCCTTTTTGTTGTGTATATTTAAAGAAATGCACAAATTCAATAATCCCCCGGTTGACCTAGAGTGCAGATTTCCACAGACTACGTTCTTTATCTTCCTAACTCTTGCCACCATCCCAATGGTGCATCTGCCATCCCGTTCTTCGCCCCATCTGCACCCTCCTTCCTGCATGGGAAATGGCAGAGGTGCGCACCATCCACCTGCAATGCCTAGTGCCACGTAGCACCACATGTGAAGGTGAAGGATCCTGTTCATCTTTCTTTCAAAACTTGCAATACTCACTAGTTGGAACCTTCCAGAGAAAGGGAGGGTGAGTAGGATTTTGCAGGATGTCATTTCATTTTCAGTGCAAGTTTTGCTGCTTTTTTTTAAAATAAGAAAATTGTTTAAACGGACTGTAAGTATTGAAAAGAACACCATCTTATCAAAACTAAGCACTTGGAAGCTGAGAAATGCCAGAATTAACATCAGTTGTTTACTGACTGAGAAAATGATATGTAAGCTCTGTCTCTTTAAACTCTGTCATGAATTATGTTCAAGCAAACATTTGTAGCCAGTGCAATTTACTGTGTAAAGTCATGGTCAATAATTTAGGAGAAAGGGTAGACAGACTTGAGCTGTGATCTGCTTGTTCAAAAATAAGATATGGAAAAAGGATGAGGAGTGGCATTTGTAAAACACTTTCAAAAGAACTTAAAGCTATATGGAAGATAATCAAATTGTTCGATGCCAGGCTATAAGCAGTACTGGGTGGGCTGCAGATGCAGAAGGCTGCGTGTCTCCGTGGCTGTCCTTCTGCAGGGGCAGAGGCCAACCCGGGGGCTTCCTCCTGCCGCAGCAGCGCTCGCCAGCGCTGGCGTAGAGGAGAAGGAAGAGCAAAGATAGCTGCAAATACACTGCAAAAGCACCCTCGAAAGATGACACTTGATACCAGAAACTCTCCTGGATTTGGTAGTTTCCAGAAGCAGTCAGAGGGGAGACAGGCAAGTTCAATCAGAGGACGCGTAAGGCAGGTTACTTTCTTTTAATGTTATGAAGCAGACCAATCAAGACAAGCTTTAGCAACACTTCAGGTCAGACCTGTTATACGGTCCATTTCTTCAGTGTTCTGTCTCCTTTCTTAATAAATCTTGTTTTTATTAAGACTCCCGTGGCTTTATACAGCTCAGGGATTTTGTATGGAACGTCCTAAAGAGATTAATAAAACCTTCAAATGATACAAGATACTGAAGGAAACATGCCCCAAGTATAATCACAACTTCTTCTTTCAGCTACTCTTTACCAGGGTCTTGTGGAAGGGCAGCACTGCTCGCGGTACTTGAGAAACTCTTGATGATCGCAGATGAGAAGAAAGGCAAAAAGGGTAAGTGTAACAATTAACAAAATGACATTTCTAAAATAAACAAAACCCTATTGAAATTAAATATTTTGT